AATCACCAGTCAGCAGGCTTCTCTTTCTGACTATGTTTTGACTGCAGCCAGATGATTCCTATATGGGGCCAACACGATTCACGTACTGGAAGCACTTCCAAAATGTACTATTATGGGCTGGATCGAGGCTTGAGACACCACAGCTCGCCTTGGGGCATCGGGAGCCCAAGAAGGAATTTAGCCTGCCTCAGCCAGATTTCCCCCTGAGAGGCTCTGAGGAATGGCCCACTGGAATGGCAGCTCTGTCATTATCACCTCGTGGCTCTAAATCATAGCATCTACAGAGACACCACGCAATAAGCTCAGCTGGTGTGAAATGGCTTGAAGGAAGCTATGCCAAGTTTCAGCAGCCAAAGGTCTAACCCCTGGATTTTACCACTTGACTGCTGCTTAGCAGGCAAGTCAGATAAAAGTACCAGAGTGGGGGAACATCACCACCACCTACTTCCATGGTGACAGCAGGACATCAACAGAATCCACCAGCAAGGGAAATGGTAGATTGTGAAAATATATCCCTGATCCCTTTTCCTGCCATTCACACAGACTCTTACAGTTTTCCCTTTTTGGCCCATCACTGTGATGTCCGGATACTCGTTCTCAATAGGTAGTTTCAATGACCTCAGTGGAGCTACAACCGTACAACCATTTCCACCAGCTGAGGATATGGCCCACCTTACGTGTGTGTGTGTGTGTTCTTGATGGTCAAACCACAAAAAGTCTGGCAAGTTCGGCAGTGCACCCAGAAGTCTGGAATTCCGAAGTAGCCAAATACCTTGGCTCTGTAAAACTGGCCTGTACATCTCATGAGACCAGGCTGTCTCATCCAACTCCCACTCCTTCCTGCTCCCGGCTGAGATGGGAATACTGCTACAACAGTCCTTCAAGATAGTTTGGCCTGCCCAGACCCAACAGGAAGCAGGCAATGCAGAGGTGAGAACGAAAAATAATTTAAAGATTTTAAGTCAATTTTCCTGAAATTCCAAAAAGAAAAGAAAGAAAAGGTTTGAGTTGGCTTTACGGATGCACACACACACACCAAGGCAGCTGCAAACTTTCCTTTCCATCTCGACCCACTTAGAAGCAGACAGAATGGGCTTCTTTCTAAGATTGGACAAGCTAATGCATTACATTCTGATACTTGCATTTTAATCCTAGGATTGTACTGGCTTCTCTCTTGTCGTTTGGGCTCTGGGTAGGAGAACGGGAAGCCCATTCGGCACTCGCAATCCAGTAGCTGGGAGTCATTTATCACAAAAGCATGCTGCATCATCAAGGAATCAGAATTAAGGCCCCTCCGGCAGGGAACTGCACACAATGACCCCAAGGGGTGGGTTTTATAACGAAGGGGCAAAACCATCAAACCAGAGCTGTCTGTGCTGTGTTCTTGAACTGGCAGACATGGCCAGTGGGACTCAGCCAGTCTGGTGTGGGTGATTGTAGGGCAGCTAGACTTCTTTAAAACGAATGAGAAAACCAAACCCATCCAAGCAGTGATGGCAACACCCTGGGGTAGCTTGCACCACTGAAAGAAAATGGCGTGTCACATTCCTCACCAGACTGTCTCGTTTCACTTGGTTGAATTCCCTGCATCTTTGTGCTGTGGACACTCTCTGAGAGGCGAAACTACAGAGTATCATTTGTACATCCCCTTGTAAACTCTGAATATCCCCGTTGTTCAACAGGTCACAAGGACCGTGGGTCTGGAGAAGACTGCCTTCATTCACACCTTGAAGACTAGACCACTACGTAAATGTGTGTGATCAACAGCTGGCCACATCTGTGGTCCACTTTTCCCATATAACTTGATCTCTTGTTCCACAGAATAGAGAAACTGTATGAAAACCCTTGGCATCTGATTTGTGGCCTGGCATTCTTTTGCCCACTAAACGCTCTCTGGGAAATGTCTTCTTCTTCTTTCTTTACATCACTGTCTCTCTTTCTTCTTCAACAAGTACCGTGGGTCTGTCTCCGTCATAAAGTCCAGACCCGTTCAGGTACTCCTCTTCTTTGTTGTACTGCTCTGGCCCAGAAGAAGGCATGGAGTTTTCAGAAATTGAGCCATTTTTGACATAGCCTGGCAAATTTCGGTGTCCATTGAGGGCACCCGGTACAAGTCTCGTATTGAGATGTAGGGCTAGGGCCCCTCTGGTGGTTACATTAGTGATGCTGGTATGGGAGACCATGGGTCCATAGCTATAGGTCGTGCTCCCACTTCGTGCTTTCCTTTTAAAGTCAAGGGCTAAAGTCCACCTGCTCCATGACTTCTTTATTTCGGCTTGAACCTGAAGAGATGGAGAGAAAAGAGAGGGAAGATCGTGAGTGAGGAATGAAGGGAAGAATGGTGCGGGATGATGCTGGCGACTGGGCTACAGAAGGAGGTAGTGTTGATAGAGATACCTGGCTGTGGGATTAATAGGAGTAATGGGATTCAAATGGGGACAAAGGGATAGTTATGCTGGATATCATGAACCACCCCTTAGTGGCAGGATAAATGAGACTGTGGAATGGTCTGCTGAGGACAATGGCGGAAGTCCCATTGCTTGCACCATTTACCACTCGACTGGGCCAAGTGGCAGCCTGGGATGGACTAGAAGGCCTGTTAGGTCTTTCCCATCTCTCAACTGGTATAAATGGGCACAGATCCCCTGACTTCAACAGACTCTGGATTGACTTCGGTGGACATAGATTCATTTACACCACCTAAGGATCTGGCCCCATTATGTGTCCCTAACTGATTGGCGCTCTCTCTCCTTCACTTTATCGCTTTCTCCTTGTGGAAGATGTGTGAGCTTCCCTTTCAGATTTCCCTTCCCAGTTGCCTATTCGGAGTTCTCTTTGAGCCGTAAGCAACCAAACCACTGCCTGCTAGGTAAAACTCTGAAAGGCTCAGTCCCAAAGGAAGCCACCTTGTCTTACTGCAAACTCTTAAAAAAGTACAGCAAACTTCTGGTATATTGGGATCATTCAAACCGTTTGGTCTCCATGTGCAGTCTAGCCCCCCCAAAAAACCCTGGCCAATCAACCAACCAGCCAACAACACCCAGCCCATAATTTAGAGCCAGCGTCGGTAACACACAGTGCAGTAATCAGTGGTCCCGTCTGACCTTAGAATCTCTTAATCTTGAGTGAATGTTTTTACCATGCCACATGGCAGTTGCTATCAGGCCATGATGAATGTTTTTCCATTAGGCTTTCTTAGCTAGGCCACTAGTTTTGTTCTTTGCCTCATGTCCCGTTGCAGCGTTAGTATTTAAATCAAACACTTGTTCTGGACTAATATGGAGATTTAGGATGACAGAAAGTCGTTATCCAGATTGGAATGTGGCCAGGACGCCTGGATTAATACCTCTACTCTCCAGAAAAAAATGCCCTTGGATTCTGAATGGCTACAAGTTGGCACGGCCTGGGTTTTACACCCTCTCCAAAGAGCCGCAATGTCAATAGCAAAACTGGAGTGAAGATCTACAAGAAGAACGAGCGGTCTGCAAAATATGCCTTATTGCGAGAGATTGCGGGAGCTCAATCTATAGGTAGCGTAGCAAAGAGAACGTGAAGAGGCAAGTTAATCATGGTCTGTTAAGTACTGACAAAGGGAGAAAGTATCAGGTAGCAGAAGGCTCTTTAATCTAGCAAAACAAGATCTAATGGCTGGAAGGTAAATCAGCAGTGTTCAAACTGGAAACAATATGCCCATTTTTGACACAGAATGTAATTAACCGTTGGAATAGCTCACCAAGGGATGGGGTGGATTCTCGTCATTTGGAGTTTTTCCATTGAAACTGGATGTCTTTCGAAATGATTATGCTCTATTTCCAACACAAACTACTGGGCTTGATGTAAGAATCACTGGGTAAGGTTCACTGGCCTGTGTTCTGCTGCAGACGATCATAGTGGTCTGTTCTGGCCTTAATCCCTATGCATTTTACCAGAGCCTGGTCAAACAACTCCACCTGAGCTCTCCCTGCTGCTCCAAGAAGAACTACAAACAACAGTCCCCCAGAATGGGCATTGCTGATGATGCAGGAAAAGAGTGTGAGTTACCAGAAGGTTTAGAGGCTGGTGAAGTAACTCAACATTAACAAGTAGTGGGCTCCGTTTCACAGGCAAGATAATAATGGCACTTACATAGCCCTGTGTAGAGGGCAGCAGAGCTTCTCCCAGAAGAAGCCGTGGGAAGACTGGGCCCAGGCAGACATCTCACCTTGTCCATGAAGGACAAGAAGCAATGGGCTTAAACTGCAGCAAGGGCGGTTTAGGTTGGACGTTAGGAAAAACTACCTGACTGTCAGGGTAGTTAAGTACTAGAACAAATTGCCTAGGGAGGTTGTGGAATCTTTGTCACTGCGGGGTTTTTAAGAACAGGCTAGACAAACGCCTGTCAGGGATGGTCTAGTTATTATGTAGCCCTGCCTTGAATGCAGTGGACTGGACTAGAAGACCTCTCAAGAGCCCTTTCAGTCCTACACTTCTATGATTCTAAGAGTGCCCTCTTTGCTCCAGCCATTCAGATGGACTCAACTGCTCATCCCAATGTACCATCCCCACTGTGCTAAAAGAGTGGGGGCTTGGCCTCCCTGCCTCCAAGCATCTGCAGGCGGGGAGGAAGCGAGCAGATCTGGAGTTCCCCAAAGCACAGGGATTACTGCTGTGAGAGGCTCTTCCATATGGGCTGCCAATAATCTTCCCCTAAATGGCTCAGATGGTTTGGGCCTGATTCTCCACCATCTTGTCTTTGGTGCTCTCATTTACCCTGGGGCAGAGGGGGACATAAAACATTACCAGATCAGAGCAGTCATGTTTTATACCCAGTTTGAACCGATTCTCGTTTGGTAGCATTTTAGATCCACTTCACCCAGAGGGAAATGACTAAGTAAGGTGCAAAGCAGTGGAGACATTTCCATACCAAGGGTCTAATTCTCTGCTTGCCTAACTCCAGTGACCTCAGTAGAGTTAACCCCGGTGGGACTAGCTGACTGTAGATATTTGGACTCTATTTATAATGAAAGAGGATCATTAAGAACCAAAGACACTCACCTCTCCATTGCAAAAACAGTATATGATGGCAACAAAAAATCCCTGGAAAGAAGATGAAACAACACATTAGCATTTATCCTGCTCAGCTCAATGTCTATTCACTGAAACCGTGGCCCAAATCCACATAGTTTCACTGATGGCAATGGAGCAACACCAGTTTACCCCAGCTAAAAACCAGCGCAAACTAGGAAAACTCCTGTTGTCTAGCAGCCTACAAGAAACAGGTGACAATGACTGTCCTCCAGGCTAGCAGCTAACCAGCGTTTAAAGCATCCTGGCTGGCTGGCTGGCACATCTGTCCTAGGCTGCGATAGAAAAGGCACATTTGTTTCCTGTTGCAGATGTCCTGTAAAGGCTTTGGAAGAGAAGCTGCTCACCACTGTCCCAGGTCATTTTCCTGCCCTGGGAAATTTTTCAAGCTTTCAGAAATGTGCCTGTTTCGCATCAGGACGAACCCGAGACCTTTAGAATTTTTTTGCAGAAAACCCCAGAGCTCTCAGGAGATCCCATAGCTCATGTGATGAGGGCACTTAGCATGGAGGTAGAAGTCCCAGGTTCAAACCCTTACTCTGAACCAGGCAGAGCAGGGACTTGCACCCCAGCCTGCTATGTCCCAGGTGAGCGGCCTAATCGCTGCGTCTATGGAGTACTCTGGGGTGGGGCTTTCTCACACTCGCTTGTTGGAGATGTTCCACTTTGTATAAATAAATATTCGGGGGGAAGTGGGGAGAGACTGACTGTATAGCCCAGTGTCAGGGTAGTCATAGAATCATAGAATATCAGAGTTGGAAGGGACCTCAGGAGGTCATCTAGTCCAACCCCCTGCTCAAAGCAGGACCAATCCCCAACTAAATCATCCCAGCCAGGGCTTTGTCAAGCCTGACCTTAAAAACCTCTAAGGAAGGAGATTCCACCACCTCCCTAGGTAACCCATTCCAATGCTTCACCACGTTCTTAGTGAAAAAGATTTTCCTAATATTCAACCTAAACCTCCCCCATTGCAACTTGAGACCATTACTCCTTGTTCTGTCATCTGCTACCACTGAGAACAGTCTAGATCCATCCTCTTTGGAACCCCCCTTCAGGTAGTTGAAAGCAGCTATCAAATCCCCCCTCATTCTTCTCTTCTGCAGACTAAATAATCCCAGTTCCCTCAGCCTCTCCTCATAAGTCAGTTGGGATGTGGGAAATCCAGGATCAGATGAGATGAGAAGCCAGTTCTGGGACCCAGTCATGCATTCCCTTTGCACCCAAATGGGAGTTCTGGGTGCGCAAAGAATGCAGGGCCAGGTCCTCCCATGTCAGGTCCAGTCTGAATCTGCACCTCCCCCCACTTTGGATCCAGAGTTTGTCTGAGCGCAGCTCTAATTTCCCAACTTCATGTCAGCCACGCTAGTCAGTCACTTAAGATTTTAAACTGTTGGTCAGTAGGTTGTCCTTAAGGGAGGGCTGTGCAGTGTGCATGCAACGCAATGTTCATCAGATGGCTGTACTCATTTTGGCTAAAAGATCCCAGTCCTGCACTCAGATCCGCATTATACCCCTGCTTATCATCGACTTCAGTGGGGTGCTGCAGTTCATGTCAGTGGATCCGTTTGAAGGACTAGGACAAGCTACTTTGAGGCCAGCTGGCTTAAATCCATGCAGCTCTCTTGACCTATCCCTGCTGAGGATCTAACCTGGATCTCAAGGGATTTGGGTGGACAAATGATCGTAGAACGATTAAATTTTTTGCCTGACACATTGTCCCAAAGTACCTTAACACGGTTTGCAAATACATAATACACCCAGCACCAAAGTACATCCATTAAGTCTTGGGAGTGTAACTTGGCACCGATTAAAAATCCTTTCCCCCAAAACAGAACACATTTGATGTCCACGTTCCATCCCACCGAATACCACTACTTTGTCCTTAAAATGCCCAGAAAGCTTAACAGGGTACAGTACCTGGAAAGAGTTGAACAGCATTTCATAGTGCATTTGAACTTGCCAAAGAATCCCTGACACCTCTGTATATGGCAAAGCCATGAAAACTATATAGTGAACTCCAAACAGAGGCATAAGGACAAGGGTAGATTTCAGCAGCTTCCTGTAGGAACAGGAGAAGGAGAGAAACACATGGAGAAAGTCATGAGTCTGAATTATCCTCTGGGTCTCCTTAGGGTCTGGATTGAGGCAAGGTGGTGAAATGGTGCTGGGGCCGGGGGTGGGAGGGGGAGAGGGGAGCTTTCACCGCTGCTACCCATGATGTGCCCGATTGTGGATATCCAGTCTCCAGGCCCATCAAGCCAGTACCTTCCACCAGCAGTAAAAATCCCTGTAAACGAAGGATGGTGCTGCTCCATATCTCGGGCCAGCCTGCCTATGCTCAGACGGGACAAAGAGGGGGACTTCCAAGACCGTGCCATGCTTGCTTCCCGTGGGCACTGGCATCCTTGATGGGGGATGGAATGGAGGAGATCAGCAGAGCTGGATGGATGCTGACCTCGGCTAGCTGGGGGCACTGGAGAGAGAATGCCACGCCATCCTATGGAATGGGGCAGCTCATCTGCTATCACCTTGTGTTTCCCTGGGGTGTAATGTGCGCTGGAGGTCCCCTAGATGGAGGTGCAACTCCACCTCAGCTGGAGCCTGTGCGCCTTAGCTACAACCCAGACCCTAACGTTTGGCTGGGTTCATCCCTCGAATCCCTAAGGGAACAGACACTGCCTGGAAATGATGCCGATCCAGGGATCGAAACCACTGCCAATGGTGACGGCAATTGCCAAATGGAGGCAATTAGCAAGGGGGCAGCGTTGCCAGGAGGCCCGGTGCTTTCGCTGTCCGACGACTGACAATCTCTGCAGGGATTAAAGAATAAAAAGCGCTGAGCCCGTCCAAGCCATAATTAATAGCAAGCCTCTCCAAGCGAGAAATAAACAAACAGATCAGTCACGGCTGTGACATGGCAGCAAAACAAACCTTTGCATTTTGAAGCCAAATTCCAGCCCCACTTCCAATGAAACATAGAATTGTAGGACTGGAAGGGACCTCGAGAGCTCATCAAGTCCAGTCCCCTGCACTCACGGCAGGACTAAGTATTATCTCACTTTTGGATACTCTTCTGGGAGCAAGCTGGTAGAGGCGACCTGGGAATCCTGCTTTTCAGTGATACCAAACTGAATTATTTTGCTCCCTCTCCTCTGGATGTTGTGTGCTGAATCATTTGAACTTGAGCCTACAAACGCCCTGGGAGTTCTCTAGCTGCGGAGGTCTCTCAGCTATTTACTTTCACAGTCAAACTTTGACTATGTTGCAAATATGCTTCATTGTCAAGGGGAAAGGAATGGAAAAAAAAAAAACCCAAACAGACAAGAAAACCCAAGACGAAACTCCAAACTTCCTGTGAATAGTTAGGAATCTTTCTTCACTTGAGCAATGGCAGGTCAAGGTTGCGAAAACAAGGGAGGGGAAAAGTATAAAAAGGAAGGATGGGATTTTACGGTACAGCCAGGGCCTTTTGCTTTATGCAGTTGGTTCAAAGTCAACCTAGGGCAGTAGCCAGGGCCGGCTTTAGAAACTGCGGGGCCCGATTTGAATACCCGGTGGTGGTCCGGGTCTTCGGCGGCACTTTGGCGGTGAGGGGTCCTTCACTCGCTCCGGGTCTTCTGCGGCACTGAAGGACCCCCCGCCGCCGAAGTGCCGCCGAAGACCCGGACTGCCGCCGGGTGAGTAAAAAAATTAAAAAGGCGCCTAAGGCGCGGGGCCCTCTTAGGCGCGGGCGTGGGGCCCTCTTAGGCGCAGGGCCTGATTCCGGGGAATCGGGGGAATTGGCCTAAAGCCGGCCCTGGCAGTAGCGATCGAAAATCATTAGTATTAATTATTTGGGTCATCACGATAAAATACGGAGCCGCTACGGTGGTGAGATCGGGACCCTATTGTGCTAGGCTTTGTGCAAACATAACGTAACAGACAGCCCCTGAAATCTAAATAGACAAGGCAGACAAAGAACAGAACTTCCCCAGCGTCACACGGTAGAGCCAGGACTAGAGCTGAGGCGGCCTGAGAAGCAGCCCAGGGCCCTAGCCACTGGACCAGACACTCCTACTACCCAACAGCTGTTGGTGGTCTCCTCAATAGATGGTGTATGTGTCCACATCACAAATACCACTGTCATCGTTAGCCCTCGATGGCCATGCCAGCAGACAGGCCATGAGCCAAACTGACCTTGGAGGCTGAACTCACCTCAGCCTATCAGCTGATCCCTCCAGGCTAGGATCTACCCTCCTTAAGGGAGCACTGAGAGGAGGCTTGCAATGCCCCGGTCCGCCATGCGCTGCTGCTCCACCGGAACTCTGCTGGCTCGGTGGAAAGCAGGAGGAGCAATGGCAGTGACTGAGGCTGCATGTGCGTTGTCCCTGCTCTGCAGGTGATTAGGAGACATTGATCTCCCAGGCTGTCAAGCCCATCCTGTGCGTCTCGCTGTCTCGTGCCGGAAGGGAAAGGGGACTCTCACCTGTACTGTTGTCTCGTATCGCACCTCCCTGCGTTTGTCTCCCGTAGCTTGGTTGCTAGGACTCGGATAATATTGATAAAAAGAATAAAATTTACCTGGAAAAGAGAGAGATTTTTTTTTTAATCACAAAACCAAAACCTGCGGCGCTACCGGATCGAGAGGGCGCCTTTCCCCAGGGCCCCGTCCTCCCAGATGTTTCCAGAGAGCACCCTCAGCTCCTACTGGAGGAGGTGACGGTACACAGCTCCTTCACAACTAGCCCAGCCATTGAGCAAGCTCAGGCCAACTGTGTCTGAGCCGAGTGCTCTCTGCTTGATCTCGTGCCACGGAGGTAAGGAAGGGCCACCCCTTTTATTCTGGTCCCTAGCAGACCTCATCTCGTCCAGCCTTGTTATCGTCTCATGGTGGTAACAGGCACGTGTGACAAGATCTAGCTAGGCACTTCAGGTAAAATTCACTCCGGAGCAAAGAGCCCAAGCAACGGCCACGGCCCTATTTAAAAACCACGTGACTAGCGGGAATTTTTCAACGGAAAATGCTGATGCGTCCAAACCAAAACTTTTCCTGGAAACGTATCGGTTTCAATGAAGATTTCCCAGCCGCAGGATGGAACGTTTGGTCAAAACCAGAGAGAAAACCAAAACTATATCCCAGAATAGCCCCTCACCTGGGAGATGGAAGATCCAGGTTCAAGCCCCTCCTCCACATTGGGATGAGCATGGAGGCAAAACCCCATCCCACTCCAATGCCCTAAGCACGAGGCTATAGAGCCAATTACTCTCTTTGTCCCAGTGAACATGTAGTTATTTACAGACAGTAGAACAGCTCCAATAGGAGAGATTGAAAGAAAGCCTGACTCCAGAGCCCAGCAGGGTAGGGCACTTGCCTGGGGTATGGAAGACCCATGTTTTGGAAGTTCTCTTCTTCACCCCAGTGACGACAAAAGATTTCAAAACCTGGGAATTGTTCACGAAGTGGAATTTTTGTTTTCCGGCCAGCCCTACTTCAGTGAGATTTGATAGCGCATTGAGGTGAATTTTGTCTTTCCACCATGCTCGTCACTAGGGCCCGATCAAATTCACGGTCCATGTTGGTCAATTTCACGGTCAGAGGATTTTTAAAATCGTAAATGTAATGATTTCAACTATTTAAATTTGAAATGTCACGGTGTTGTAATTGTAGGGGTCCTGACCCAAAAAGGAGTTGTGTGTGTGTGTATGTGGAGGGGGGTTGCAAGGTTATTGTAGGAGGGTTGCGGTACTGCTACCCTTACTTCTGTGCTGCTGCTGGCGGTCGTGCTGCCTTCGGAGCTGGGCAGCTGGAGAGCGGCGGCTGCTGGCTGAGTGCCCAGCTCTGAAGGCAGAGCGGCCGCCAGCAGCAGCACAGAAGTAAGGATGGCAGGGTATGGTGTTGCCTCCCTTACTTCTGCGCTGCTGCTGGCAGGGCGCTGCCTTCAGAGCTGGGTGCCTGGCCAACATCTGCTGCTCTCCAGCCACCCAGCTCTGAAGGCAGCGCAGAAGTAAGAGTGGCAAGACTGTGACACCCCTAAAATAACCTTGTGACCCCCCTGCAACTCCCTTTTGGGTCAGGACCCCCAATTTGAGAAACACTGGTCTCCCCTGTGAAATCTGCACAGTATAGGGTAAAAGCACCCAAAAGACCAGATTTCACAGTGGGAGACCAGATTTCACGGTCCATGACGCGTTTTTCATGGCCGTGAATTTGGTAGGGCCCTACTCATCACTGAGCAACTGAGTGCCTCAAAATGGCTGAAAGAACAGAACCTTTCAAACAGGTGATTGACATTCAGACAGAAGTCTGAATGACTCTTCCCCCCGCCCCCCCACCGGTCAGGTGCCTCTAAATCAGGATCAAGGCCTGTTGGCAGGACAAGGTGGGATGGGGGCAGCTTGCACGGCCTTTGCCCTTGCTGGACCTGCTCTGTGCATAGGGGATTTTAGTCTCTGTGGCTGTCAACCCAGCATCTTTCAACAGCCTTTAAAGCAAGTTCAAAGATAGATCACGAGAAATGCGGTGAGACGGAAAAGCAATAGGGAAAGGGACAAAGTATCTTCATGGGCTAGGGCTCTGTGTGAAACTGGCCTACATTTTTCTGCAGAGTTTATTACTTGGGCCTAGGGGCCTCAGCGGAGATCAGGGCCCCCCTGTGCTAGGGGCTGTACAAAGGCACAGACTAAGAGGCAGTCTCTGCCCTGAAGAATGTGAAATCTAAATAGACATGACAGACTACAGAGGGCGGAACGGGAGTCTTATTACTGCCATTTTAAAGATGGATACATGAGGCACAGGGAGGTAACTGGCAAATCTTGGCCCCATAGAAATCAATGAGAGTTTTGCCATTGACTTCAACGGAGCCAGGATTTCATTCTTAAGTGACGGACCCAAGGTCACACAGAAAGTCTGGGCAGAGGCAGGAATTTCACTCAGAAATCTTGACTCCTAGCTTTGCCACAAGGTCATCCTTTCTCTCCATCTAACAATGGCCAAGCCATTGGTCCATTTGTTTCTTTGCAGTCCTTCATCAGACCTTGTATTTCTTGATTGCTACAGAACCCGTGATCCCAATCTGAAGGAAACAAGGAAGGAAATTCCTCTTGTTTTCCCTGAAACACCAGCAAAGCTTTGAAGGAAATGCAAACAACTGAATGACTTCTAAGTTACCAGTGCAGTGGAGGGACTTTAAGCCCCTTACACCCAGAACTGTCTGAGAGCTCATCCAGAAAATGCAAAACTTTGTCCAGAAACAGATGACAAGCCAGTGCGGGGACTGAAAAAGCAGCTAAGTGTGTAATAGGAACCCACAGAGACTAACCGGAAACAACCCACAGAATATGTTTGCACGATAAATAGCTGCATTTCTAAAGAGCCCTGTAGAACCTCATGAAGAAGCATTCTCTTTACCAGGACAAACTTCTATTCGGCTCTTTGTCGTCTACTAATTGGGCTTTAAATTAAATGCAATGGGGTTGCTGGCAATCAACCACTTGAACTATCTGAACTGTGCCTTCCATCCTACAGTTTTATTTCAAATGATCCTTGTGTGGTCTTGGCACTTTGCTCCTTCCAATGCACAGAAGGAACCACCAGCGCCAGTTGGAGAATTTCCGTCGACACAAAATTTTAACAAGGGAAGAAAATAAAAAATAATTTCCCGGATCAACTCTACTAATTACATGTATTAGCCCATTTACTGCAGAAGGTTCCAATGCAGAAGGCCTGATTCTCCTCTCACCCACACTGCTCTATCCCATGATCTGTAAGTCAGAAGAATCAAGGCCACTCGGCCTGATTCAAAGCTCTCTGAAGTCAGTGGAAAGACTCTTGAATTCAAGATGCTGGAAACACCTGGAGGACAAGTGCTCAGCACTGTCTGAAAATCCCTTTATGACGTGTCAAGTCAGACCCCCCCAAAGTTGAGCCCCCACCCCAAAATCACTGGTCACTTGCAAATCCTGACCTATGTGTTTATTTTATTTAAAAGTTTGGGATCACAGGCTGAGTTTCTTTCTTCCAGCAGCCTACTTTTGGCTCCCATCCCCCTCGCCACCCCAAATCAAATCCGGTACTCACCACAATAGCTACCAGGAGGGGCACCTGAAATATCCATTGTAAATTGCTGGCACTCAAGTCCCAACACCTAGGAAGAGATTGGCAACACATCAGTAAATCCTCATCTGCCCAGGCAAATAGCCCCAATGTCTGAAAACGGGAACCGTTCAATGCCCTATGCACGTGCGGAACCAACCCAACCCCAACCCCAACCCCAACCCAAGCCATCCCTTCCCCATCCCATCAGCAATGATCGGCATCGAAACGGGCCTCCTTTTAACCCTACCGTCTGCTTTTAAAAGCCAATTTTAAATGTATTTTAAATCTTAGGCCCAGATCCTCAAAGGTATTTAGCGCTTAAGCTGCATTGAAATCTGTGGAAGTTGGGCATAACTCTTGGCAGATTTCAGGGACTTGCTCTTTTAGCATTGTGAAGGCTTGTGTCCAATCCTCTTTGAACTGGAATTCTGCACCCCAGTCTGTAATGGCCAGGGTGCAGCAAGCCGTATTGGGATTCATAGAATCATAGAATATCAGGGTTGGAAGGGACCTCAGGAGGTCATCTAGTCCAACCCCCTGCTCAAAGCAGGACCTAATCCCAACTAAATCATCCCAGCCAAGGCTTTGTCAAGCCTGACCTTAAAAACCTCTAAGGAAGGAGATTCCACCACCTCCCTAGGTAACCCATTCCAGTGCTTCACCACCCTCCTCGTGAAAAAGTTTTTTCTAATATCCAACCTAAACCTCCCTCACTGCAACTTGAGATCATTGCTCCTTGTTCTGTCATCAGGTATCACTGAGAACAGTCTAGATCCATCCTCTTTGGAACCCCCTTTCAGAGAGTTGAAAGCAGCTATCAAATCCCCCCTCATTCTTCTCTTCTGCAGATGAAACAATCCCACTTCCCTCAGCCTCTCCTCATAAGTCATGTGTTCCAGCCCCCTAATCATTTTTGTTGCCCTCCGCTGGACTCTTTGCAATTTTTCCACATCCTTCTTGTAGTGTGGGGCCCAAAACTGGACACAGTACTCCAGATGAAGCCTCACCAATGTCGAATAGAGGGGAATGATCACGTCCCTCGATCTGCTGGAAATGCTCCTACTTATACAGCCCAAAATGCAGTTAGCCTTCTTGGCAACAAGGGCACACTGTTGACTCATATCCAGCTTCTCGTCCACTGTAACTCCTAGGTCCTTTTCTTCATTTCCTTAGGCCTGGCCTACACACAGAAGTTGCACCGATCTAACTAAAGGCGGGATATTAATCCAGTACAAAGGCCTGTGTGGACATACTTAAACTGGTTTAAAACTGGTTCCATGAGTTTAGCTCGTGCTTGCAAATTTACCAGCACTAGTCAATAATTACACAGGCTTCAATTAAAGTTAAGAGTGTCCACAGAGGGCTTGAACTCAATTGGCTTTAAAAATCATACCTATAGCTAATGCTTTGTGTGTAGGCGAGGCCCAAGTGAATGCTGCGGTGGTAGAAGGTGCTGCCCTGGCTGTCCTGCAGGATGAAGCGCTCTGATAAGAACAACTGCATGTATCTCCTCATGCTGCTCTGCCAATGAGTCTCAACCCTACTCTGCAGGAGGTTCAATCTCCTGGCCTAGCCAATCCTTGGCCTCCCTACTTCGGCTGCCCATAAGGGGAGGGGGCATTGATTGAGGTGGTGGGTTTTCTGATGTGGTCACCTCTCTGCTGGGAACTGGACAGAGGCCTCCAAAGATATTTTATATAGGCCACTGAGTGAGCCCATCCGATGGTAATCATGGCTTCACACCCGCCGCTGCTGTCGACTGGATGTGCTCCAGGAATCAAGAAATGAAAGGGTCTGTAGCCCTCTGCTGGCACCACACCACAGCAGTGGTTTTCACGTCCGGGGCCAGCGTCTGTTCCGTGCGGATGTTTGAGGAGAGCAAATAAAAGGGGTGGTGAAAGCCCCGACAGGAGCGGAAGATTTTTACACGGTCAAGGTGACGAGGGATATGTTGTCCTCTAATGAGCTGAGTGGTGAGCTAAGTCACATGCACTAGGGCGTGCAGTTAGGTTACCCTTTGCTCGTAGGATAGGAACGTACTTGTAGCATGGTTTCAGATATGGATGTATATCGTGCATGCAAACTATGCTGCACAGCACGATATCAGGTTCGGTTCCATTTTAAAACCAAGAGCTACTGGCGGGGTGGGGGAGCTACAGCCCCCCCCCCCCCAGTGCCCAGAGAGGCTTTGACTGAAAAGGTGGCAAATTTCAGAAGTTAGCGTTAAGTATGTTCAGCTTATGCTGAAATTGGCAGTGGGTTTGGGGGTGAGGAGGCTGAGCGTAGAGTAGTTGCCTTGTGCTATTTCAACAGGCTAGTGTGTTAGACCAACACCTGTCCAGGATAATCTAGGTATGCCTAATCTGCAGCAATGGGGGGATGGGTAAATGACCTCTCAAGGTCCTTTACAGCCCTACATTTCTGTGACTCTATGTGCAGTACTGATCTCAAAAGGTTTCAATGTCTGTAGCGCAGTGGTGGGCAACCTGCGACCCGCAGGCCGCACCCAGCCCATCAGGGTAATCCGCTGGTGAGCTGCCAGACAGTTTGTTTACATTTGCATGGCCGCCCGCAGCTCCCGGTGATCGTGGTTCGCCGTTCCTGGCCAATCGGAGCTGTGGAAAGTGGCATGGGCCACAGGGACGTGCTGGCCGCCGCTTCCTGCAGCTCCCATTGGCCGGAAAAGGTGAACCGCGGCCACTGGGAGCTGTGTGAAGCCATGCAAATGTAAACAAACTGTCTGGCAGCCCGCCAGCGGATTACCCTGATGGGCCGCTGGTTGCCCACTGCTGCCGTAGAGGAAGGAGAAAAAGTACTAAAGAACCACCAGGGCCTTAGACATGTAGATCAAATCATAGACTATCAGGGTTAGAAGGTCATCTAGTCCAACCCCCTGCTTAAAGCAGGACCAATCCCCAGACAGATTTTTGCCCCAGATCCCTAAATGGCCATCTCAAGGATTGAACTCACCACCTTGAGTTTAACAGGCTAATGCTCAAACCACTGAGCTATTCCCCCCCACTCTATAGTTTGGAAACTGTGGGTCTTATGAAGATGGAAGAAAGGTAGTAGACAGTAATATGCTGAAGAGAACAGTGAGCAAGTGGAGGGTAGAGAATGTTCATGGAAGAAATTAGGGATAACGTATATTTGGGACTCTCAGTGAGATAGGCTGGAGAGCATACATTTGATGGGGGCTGGATGTCTGATAAGAATGCAAGGCAAACAATTAGCAAAGAAAGCATGGGAGGAATGGGACAGTGAGAAAGGACATGGAAGAACAAGGATACGATGGAAAGACTGTCAAGAGAAGTTTGAAAATGAAAAGATTGTAACTCCAAGACCTATGAACCCATGCCATGGACTGGAACGAGTGGTGAAGAATCATGGGTGCCTCCACTCATGTATAAATGGAAAAAGCGAGTGAAGTGCAGTACTGACCTCTGCTGGATGGGATTGGAACTACTCAGATGTGTGTCATAAGCCCTGTAATGTACAAGCGAATGGGTGATTCTCCTTTAGCTCAAGTGGTAGAGGTATGCTTGTGGAGTGCAACACCAACAGTCGGTGGGGGATCGAACCTGGGACCTCTGGAGCTAAATGCATGAGCCTCAAGCCACATGGTGATTAGCTAAAGATGTAGCAAATATAATTTCTAAGTGGTCTTGGTGCCACTAGAAAGGCCAGAACACCACACCCAGGAGATGTGTGGATTACATGAGAATCACAATTCTATCCCTGAGTTTGATGCAGACTTCCAAGCGGTCCCAATGTGCCAGCTGTGAAGTTGTAGGTGACCACAAATTGGTTAAATTATTTAAAACTAAAGACGAGCCAGGAGAGTTACAACAGAACCAGAGAATTTCATCCCCTGCTTGGTGCATTTCCTGCCTTCATTTTAAGATTGCTTCAGATCTGCAGCCTTATCTACGTTTTCCCCCCCCCCCCAGGGTCTGTAATTCATCCACAAACCTCTCGGTTCCAAAAACACAGCAAAGACATAACACAAGAACAGGAGAAAAACAACACAGAATCCAACCAAGACTTACTCTGTGTCTGCTAGATTGGCCCTCACACTGGCCCACACTGTGACAATTACAGCAGGGAGTCCTGAAAACAAGAAAGTACTCATCAGTAAATACAATGTATAGCAAACGCAGTCCATTGCAAGCCAACTGCCAAGAGCTAGAGCTGGTGTGAGGGAAATTATTTAAAGGACTCCCCCATGGTTCAAGTATAGTTTGGAGCCCAAGGGCTCAATCCTGGTTTCACCTCCAACTTCAGGGAACCACAGGTCTGGAATCAGACATAGACCCATATTCCATGTCTTGGTTCTATCCAGAACACCAAATATGAAGACCTTGGAGTTCTGGGGAAATTTGGATCCAGAGACACAAATGACTCAGGACTATTATGATTTATATTACAGTAGCAATGATCTTACTAGAGGTCTTAACTGAGATTGTGATTCCATTGTGTTGGGCACTGTACATACCTATATGAAGAGACAGCCCCTGCCCCAGAGAACTCACAAACTAACTTGGCAAGAAGGAGAAATGGCAGGAGATAAGTGACTTTGCCAAGGATCACGCAGCAGGACAGGGATGGTACCAGAACTCTGGATTTTCAACCCACTGGACCACACTACCTCTCTGGATAGAAAGCATCCTAACCTTTACATACCCATCACACACATATCCAAGATGGCTGCCGGCAATCCCCTCAGACAGTGATGACCTCTCTACCTTCCACTACTTCTGAGGCTCTGGAGACCTTCTCAAAAGTTTGGGAAGCCAGTAGGTTTCCAAGTAAGGCAGATCAGTTTGGATATTCATTTTTGTTTATAACCCTGTGGCACCAGAGTCAGATGGGATTGGGGAGAGCACTTGTGCTGCCATTTTGGGTTACAGGTCATCTGGAGGCACTAGGCTCTGTGTGACTATACAGTTCACATAACCATCTCACTGCTGCCAGTTAAAACTGGATTCAGCAGAAATCCTATGGGAGAGACCATCTTCGTGATAGTTCCAGGCTGATCTCCAAACCCAGGAGATAAGTAGAGCTAGCTGAAAACTTTCCAGTGGAACAGTTTCAAGTTGGAACATGCTGATTCGACAAAAAAATGATACGTATTGCAGGAACATATTGAAGTGATCAAAACTTCTTTCCACATGAGTGTTTTGACTTTTATATTCAGATAATACACAATCAAAATGATAAAGTCAAAACAAAATATTTTTGGAATATTTCATTTTGCAAAAGTGCTGAGATTTTGACTTTTTGTCCTGATTCAGGACAAAATCTTAGCATTTCCTATGGGACAGAAATTCCCAATTTTGACCAGTTCTAGAGATAAGTATTAACTATGGAAATTAGAGGGCTAGGAGATTTTGCTGGACAAATCATTCAGATTGCCAGGGTTCCTCTAATTTGATGCATCTTGACATTTTACCCATTGCAATTTGATCACCAGTTTGATCAAAGAAAGAGATTTTTCTCAACTGGGATGGAGAAGAAGCTTCTTCCATCTGCCTCATGAATTAATGAAAGCTAAGACAACCCTGGGAAAATATGTTTAAAGCATAGTGACCAAATTCATCTCTGGTGTAACCATGCTTATTTCAGTGGATTTACCCCTGGCATTATTTTTTCCCTGTAAGAGCTAAGACAATACTGAATAGTGGAATAGATTATTTTTTTGAGTCCAATTCTAATTTCTTTATGCACCCAAATCCCTCATGGACTTCCCTGAAAACCCAGGATTGGGCCTATAAGAGCTTCCACAAATGTTAGTAAAAGAGCCCCCTTCATAGAATATCAGGGTTGGAAGGGACCTCAGGAGGTCATCTAGTCCAACCCCCTGCTCAAAGCAGGCCCAGGCCCCAGATCCCTAAATGACCCCCTCAAGGATTGAACTTACAACCCTGAGTTTACAAGCTATCCCTCCCCCTGCAAAAAGCAAAGAGGATGGTTATTAATAATTATAAACTCTGTGTAGCTTCTATGCTCTGTGGGGCCCAATTCAGGAAAGTCCTTATGTATGTGTTTAACTTTACGCCCATTTCAGCTCCATTGAAGTCCATGGGATGTTAAACATGTGCTTAAGTAAGTGCTAAGTACTTTCCTGAATGGGGTGTGGGGCAGAGACTCTCTCTCACTATGACCTTGTCTACATTTGCCTATGCTTGCGGCAGCATGTAGGGTCCACGTAGCTACACGCCCCAGGGAAAGGCAGGCTGTGACCACACGCACTGGGGTGTGTAGCTACAGGCAGCGTGGAAAGGCTCTGGCAGACGGACACTACACTGCTACACCCAGCAATGCAGACATGGGAGGCAGTGCTTGGGTGTGTAGACAGATGTGTAGGATACAGGGGGTTCAGGCATGTAGGGCACCCTACTCTACTCAGCTGTTCATCACTGTCCATACTACTATTTATACCAGTGCTAGATGGGTGTGTAGTGTTTGTACTGTACACACTGCCCTACATGTATGTACAGAGCCTTATACAATGGGGCCCCGATCTTGGTCGGAACCTCTAAATGCTACTGTGATAGAATCATAAATAATAAAACACTGGGCCTCATTCCAGTCTGGTGGAACTCCTCTGGCTACAATGGTACTACAAGAGGGATGCATCTGGACCATGCTCTACAATTACATACAGTGGTTAACATAAAAAAAAAGAAATATTTAATTTATGGCCCTAATAATTTGTGACCCTATTGCATTCTACGTATAGTTGGAGACTTTTTATAAGGTCAACTAAATACTTCCTTTTCAGGGTAAACCACTATCTATGGAAGATATGGGCAGGGAAACCTCAATTTTACAAACCACGGGCCATATCCTCAACTGGGATTGCTGTCATTGGAGCTATGCCCAGTTACAGTGCTGAAAGTCTGGCCCCATTTTGAGTGTGTCTACCCGGCAGCTGGGAGCGAGTCTCCGAGCTCGGGGAGATAGTCTCACGCTACCACACTAACAATAGCAATGTGGATGTTCTGGCAGAAACTTGGGTGCTCACCTGACCTCCTCGGCTTGAGAGACTGAGAATCTCTCGCAACCCAAACCAGAGTGTTCACCCATTAGATCTTGTGGCTCTGTCACCCAAGCTCTGACCCAGTGAAGTTGTGGGTGAGAACTGCTATTCTTAGTACATCAGCCTGAGCACTGCTAGAGTGGGTTTGTCTACCTGGACTGAGAAGCTCCCACCTGCAGTGTAGACACACCTTGTAAAACTTGATTCAAAACCCATTAAAGTCAATGGGTTCCATGAACGTTAATGGGGTTTGGATCAGTTTTATAAATATGAATACACAATATTAATACTTAGCTCTTATGTAGCTCTGTTCAGCTATAAAGTGGATCTCAAAACACTTTACAAATGAGGTAAATACCATTATCCCCATATTACAGATGGGGAAACTTGAGGCACGGAACAGGGAAATGACTTGCCCAAGGTCATTCCACAGGCTAGTGGCAGAGCCAAGAATAGACCCAAAGTCTCCTAAATCCTATTTCAATGCTTTATCCCCGAGGCCACACTAAATAAAGACATACACAGGCTCTGTGGGCCAAATTCTACTCTCAGCTGCCCCAATGTAAGCTTGGAGTAACGCCACTGACTTCAATGAAGTTACTCCGGCTTTACTCTACAGCTGGTTGATATTTTTCAAACACAATGTTTTTAAACAATAGGGTTTTTAACGACTTTTCCTTTTCTCCCCTTCTTCTCCATTCTTTCTCAATGGCAAAATGGAAAAAAAGGAGGGGAGAGAGGAGAGACAAAAGCGGGGGAGAGAAAATTGTGGGATTGGGGGGAAAGGAAAATGAAAAAATTAAAAAGCAAATAAGTTTGAAAACAACATTTTCAAAACAGAAAATGTTTTGATACAAAATGGGACACATTTTGAAATGAGTCCCCCCTTTCAAATGTGTAAAATGAAAATTACTTTGACAAAATTTTGCATAATCCCCTCCTCCCCCTTTTTTTGACCATCTCTATTTTACATCGGTGTAACGGAGACAGAATTTGGACTTGCAGGTTCTTTCCAAAGGCCATGGCTAATTGTTCAAATTATTTAAAAGAAAAAAAGAAACCTATGTTATAAATCGTAAGACCCTCGACCCTTGGGTTCCCTACAGTATCTCTTTAACTCCACTTTCTGCTGGGTCTCAACTGGCCTCTCCCACCAGTAGTTATTATGGTCATCACACGGATGCCCAATTTGAGATTCTTTGGGACTGATTTTAAGTGGTGTCAAGGTCCCACAGCTTCCAGGAACATCAATGGGAGCAGTGGGCGCTCAGCCTACTCTAAAAACCAGGCACAATGTCAGGACCCAGAATTAGAAGACACGCTCAAAAACTTGGCCGTATGTGTCAGCCGGCAGTGAAAGTCACAAAGGATGAACTGTCCTTGCAGCTGGCGAACCAGCCACGAAGGGCAAGCCTCACAAAAGCAATTTGGTCTCCCTCATGCACACGTCCACCCACGCCCCAGCCCTGTGTGTGTAGCCAGCATTCCCACAGGTAGAGTCCCACAGGGTGGCGATGCTGTCATTGACGTCTACAGTATCCACATTGTATGCGCTGTGCATGTCCAATCAATACACACAGTGTGTACAATGCAGGTTCTATAAAGTCAGGTCTCTCCCCTTGAGCTGGAAAAAGTGCAAAGTCTCAGGCTAGGCAAAACCCTCCCCCCACCCGCAGCCCCATTCCAACAAAGAGACGCCCCCCGGATGAACGCCCCCCCCCACTTCTTCTAATGCCCCTGAGTCCTGCATGATGAAGAGCTAAGAATCCTGACTCCACCTGCAGTTCAGAAAGGGAGACGTCATTGGAGTGCTGGGATGAACTGTATCTGTTCATAGGCCTATAGGGGTGTCTCTATTCCATGCTATTGTGCTATCTTCTGAGTGATCTGTAACACCAAACCATACGTGGTCAGTAAAGGGCAGATTATGCACCCCTCACTGAGTCGTGCTTGTGTAATGCCAACAGCTCCCGGTCGTCAGCAGGCAGAATTGAACCTGCGACCTCAATGCGTGAGCATCTACTGCATGAGCTAAAAGCCATATGGTTTTTAAGCTAAGGCTATAGAGCAAACTCAATCTCTCGTGCTCGCTCTAAGTGGTCTCGGTGCCACGACATGGGACAGAACACCACACCCAAGAGGTGTGTGGGTTACACATGCTCACGCAAGGAGCCCATTAGGAGGAAGGGCTCCTCAGTGTGAGTAAGGGTTGCCCTAAAGATCTTGTGTCTCTACAAGCTGGAGTGTTAACCGAAGCGTTCTGGACTATAATACAATAGTAATAGCATTCAACCTATGGAAAAGAGCCCCTCTTCCCTGTCCTCTGCTCCAGTAGCAGGAGTAGTTATTCTTCATTTCCCTGCCTACAAGCAGTTGAGTAACATCACTGGCACAGAAGAGATGCTGAAGGCTGCTCTAAGTTGCGCCAGATCTTTCTGCATTTAGCTTGCAATCACTTTGGGGGCAGGGATAGTCTCTCACTGGGCTTCTGATCCTGGTTGGTGCCTCTCTGTGCTCCTCTAACAGCAATAACTCTCAGTCTATTTTAGGTTGTCCTATCGCACTCACCCTCGTTGGGTCTAATTGCCGTGAGGTCCAGTTACCAGGGACAATTAAAACGTTGTGAATAAAATACAATTGAAATAGATTGATTTTCTACAGTTATTGGTCATGCTCCTTGGACTTCCTTTATATAGCAGCTGCAGAGAACCTGAAGCTTGGTGGTGAATTTATTGACACTGGTAAAATCCTTTTTTCCCCCAGATGTCTGCAAGAAACAAGTTCCTTCTGTCACCTTTGTATCCTTTTTACTACAAGAAGGGCCAGATCCTTCTACTGACCAGAGCTCAGCGAAATTTTTCAGCAGAAATTTTTTTTTCAATGAAAAACGGGGATTTGGGTTAACAAAACTTTTTGCAAATTCATGTTGAATTCACCAAATTGTTTCAGATGAAAAAAAAACCAAAACAAAAAAACGACAAATTCCGCCACAAATCTATCCATTTAAATATATTTTTTTTCTTTGACACCACTTTCCCTTTTGAAATTTCCTTCAGTTTAATTTTAAAACAGTAAAAAATAAATTAAAAAAAGGAAGCTTAAAATCAAAAGAAAACATTTGGTCTCAGGCTGAATGAAACATTCTGTGTGACCCAAAATGATTTTTGGTTTTCATTTTTTTTTGATTTGCTGAAAATTGTCCTAAAAAAATCTCATTTTCAGGTCAACCCCAAAGAATTTTTTTTAACTCAGTTTTTTGGAACTGCTAGTGAACTGAAAAACCAACTATTCCAGGTCCACTGTTGACAACAACTTATGCCAGCTGAGGCTCTGGCCTGTAAAGTCTCCTCCGGATAAGTCCTTGGATCTAACATCAGAGAGCAAATTGGTGTTTGGGTTCCTTCAGCATAAATTGATTTATGGTGAATGGTTTGGATTTTCCTAGAAATCTCCAGGGCATTACAAATCCTCAGATGTTTGTTGTTATATAAGCAAAGGATCTCAGATCTTGGGGCAAACTTCTCCCTTATGTACCTATGTGAACATCGTAGTTATTTATCACTGGTTCTACATTGGTCTTCACTGTGGTATGGGCATGATCTAGTGCCCGCTGTATTGAATTGGAGTCTTTCCATTGACTTCAGAGGGCACTGGACAGGGGCCCCCTTCTGAATGCCCAACAGGTATCAAAGCCGTGTGTATGTATATTTTTTTATCATGCTAATCCAAATAAAGCAAAACCAAATGCAACTGGAGGAAATCATCCGTTCTCATTCCAGAGGAATTTAATTGAACAGCCACGAATGTTTGGAGTCAAATGGATAATTGGTGTTGTGACAGGTGTGCCTTTTGCATTGTGAGCGGCTCAATACATTGATTATATTTTGGCAGCGATCGGAAGTGTTAATGAAAGGATCCGATGCCCGTTTGACTGGGTTTTTTTTTGGCTACTTCGGCATTATTAGCAATGTTGCGTTGTGCTAAATGTGTGGCCTTATTTCTACCGAATCGCCCCTATTTCTAGGATTTGCACTAGGAAATCATTTATCAGGCCTGCTCTGTACCAAGCATTTCATTTTAATAATAAGCGACAGCATACATTCGGTGCAATTCTCTCAGAAGTAAAATAGACACAAGACTAAATTAGTAAGGTGCCTCTGCTACTCTAGGGCTTTGAAGAGTTTTTAAATATGTGAGGCCAAAGAATTCTCAGCCTAATAGCAGTTGGAAGAAGAATTGTCCTGTAGCGGATGTTTGGACATCCCACTAGCCAATGCATCATTCTTTCACTAGGGAAAGCCAGGCTTTCATAGTCTTCGCAACGCTGACACCTCGGAGACCCCTGGATCTCAAGACGCAAACCGCTACTGCCTGAGCTCAAAGGCCAAGCTCCGTAGCAAAGCTGTAGCAGGCTTGTCAACTGCTAGGTGGCTTAGCCACCACTAGAGGAGGACAGAGTTCCACACCGCATGGTCGGGACATACATGTTACACCTTGAATGTTGACTATCTGACGAGTTGGGAGATCCACTGGTATAGAAACCACAGGTGGAAATGACCAAGTACATAAGGCAAGCTTGTGGCCTGCAGAGTAGCAGCCGTGTTAGTCTGTATCCGCAAAAAGACAGGAGTACTTGTGGCACCTTAGAGACTAACAAATTTATTAGAGCATAAGCTTTCGTGGACATCTGAAGAAGTGGGCTGTAGTCCAC